GGTTTTCGCAGGGGATGAAAAACTTTTGGAAATAATTACCCAAAATTATGCTAATGCGGGGGGTGAATGTTTTTCCATTGTCATGATTCCACTCGATTGTTTATTTAACTCCCCCATGCGACGCCTTTTAATTTCTTCTCATGACAAACGGCTTCGCTATTTTGCATTTTCCAATTGACATTACTCAAATAATTAATATTCTAGGGGCTCAAAATAAATCGATGTTCTTAATAAATGGTTTAATATTAAAATAATTACTTACTTATTTTACTTATATCGTTATGAACTTTCTCTCAATATTATTTTTAACACTAAAAAGCTTACACTAATAGAAGGGGAAGTTCTCTTGGTCAAATAAAATTGGTTTGACATTTAATAAAGAAAATCGAGCAATCTTTATATTTTTTGTTTATCCCTCCGGCCATATTTTCTGCATTTTCCCTCAAGGTAGCTGTTCATTTTATTCTGCGCCTAAGTGCTAACAACTTCCCTAATCTCATTATCCCGCGTTCCCATTTTCTGTCGAAGCGTAGGCTTTTCATAATCTAAGCAGCACTTCCACAGACATTTTCCCAGATTTTCCCCGGCAATTTACCCCTTGATTAATACACTCACGTAGCCGGTTGGTGAGACGTCAAAGTCAATAAGTACAAAAATTTCGTAGGCAGTTTGTTTTTTCCCCCCACGCGAGCCATAACAAAATACAATCGGGCGGATCAGACAGACGACGACATCGAAATCGGAACGTGGCTACAACAACCAGGTGAGTGGCGGCTTTCCACGATTTCCCCCGCGTTTTTTCCTCCTTTCCAACCGCTTTTCCACCTGCACAGCACACACACGCACGCGACTCGCATTACGCGCAACTTTTTAAAAGTCAGGCAGAAAAATGTTTTTTAAACGCTAAATTACTTTTGAATGGCAGGTGGGCGTGGCGGCGCCTCGTCATGTGGGCGTGTCGCAGCGCCAGCGTCACAATTTCATTTTGTGCTTCCTCATTTTCGCCCCCCTCCCCTCCTCCCAGCCCCCCCTCGACCAGCGCTTTTCCACCGCTTTTCCGCGACAACAACAAGCGCTTTGTCACAAGAGGGGCGCTTTTTTCGTGTAGCGTCTGAAGAGCGGAAATGCTTATCCCAACACTTGAGCGTCACGTGCTGCCGCAGTCGCAGCGGCGCCGACGTCGACGCAGGTGTACCCTACCTGCACCTGAATATATACGAAATATACCTGGATCTACATAGATGGCATTATGGCACTTATACTGCTCCACTCGTAGTATATGCAAATAATTCTGATTACTTGTGAACTAGTTAATATTATGGCCTCTATAAAAACAGAAAATGATTAATAGGTCAAATCAAAATAAATACCTGCATATTGGTAGACATATTAACTTGTAGTATTTCTTAATTAAATGAACAAGAATTTCATACTAAAGTAAATGTTTTATATCTCTTACTGAAAAACTTTTAAAGAAAAGTTTTAGTATATATTCAGGTAATAAATATTTAAATTTAGAACACTCAATAAATAAAAATATCTAAAATATATATTTAGCCGTTACGTGAAGGTAGGGCACTTTGAAATCGAATTGTATTATCTAAAATTATGAACATTGCAAGGTCCTTTAAACATATTTGAATGAATGCTTATAGATTAATCCTTTTGTAGATTATATTCTGTGGGTACAACTGAGCCCCCAGTCGCAAGTACCGCCTTAATTCCTCGCTTTCGGCAGTTAGGGTATTTAAATCTGTCCGGCCTCAGACTTGTCAAACTGTGCCACGCAGATACTTTCCCGCACAGAAAGCGCCTAAGGTCGTTGTCGTTGTCGCTGGGAAAGTGGAAAAGCGAGGAAAAGCGGGGAAAACAGGTAAAGAGGCTGTGGACGAGGGGCTGGGGCGAAACACCCTGTAGGTGTTTTGAATGTTTAGCTCAAGTGGCTTTTTAAAACACATTCTATGCTAATTAAGGGCCCGGCCCGGCCCTAAATGAGTTGTCGTTGTCGTTGTCGTTGACGTTGCCTGTCGTCGTTGTTTGCATTTGATAAGCCAAGATTGTTGCCAGCCAATGTAATCAATGGAGCGGAGGAAGGAAGCTCCGCCGGAGGAACCCCCGTCCCACAGGCCCACAGGCCCACCATCATACCATCTCATTGCGTAATCCTCGAGCTGCGGTGGCGCAATCGCAAACCCCCATTTAATTAACGAATTAACAAAGCCAGAAGTTTCTGTGGTTTTTAAGTGATTTCGGGTCGCCCGAAGGCAAACATTTTGCGGCCTTGTTATGGCATAATTGAATTATTGCCATATGAAAAAACAAAAAATGGGCCAAGTCGAACCCAAAGACCCAAAAACTCAAACCCGACCAGCAGCCAAAAAAAAGTAAGAAGGACGACGGCAAAGTTTCTTGTGCGCTTTCTTATTTCTTTTTTTTTCCTTCACATCTTGGGCTAAATAAATCAAAAGTCTTTCGGGCGCTTACGAAAAAAAGAGAAAGAAGGGGAAAATACGTAAGGAAAGTGGGAAATGCGAGTAAAAGCCAAGAAGTCGGCGCCAAATTGAATTAGGGCTTTAATTGGGAAATTTGTGGGTGAACTCTTAAGGGCCTTAATGCAGTTCAACCGGAATTATTTACATTTTAGCCCGGCTGGAGTTTCTATTGACTTAGAGTTTATTTTTACAAATATACTTAAGCAAGTCACATGGCCTGTTTTTAAAATATTAAGAAAAAATTGTTTCATTTGATAAATCTAGATAAAATCGGCATTAAATTCACATTGGGCTCCCTTCTATTTTAACTTCCATAACCCATTACTTTTATTTAGAAATTAATTTATAAAAAATGTAGGATAAGAAAATGTTTTTAAATTATAGAAAAAATCGCTAGTAACTTCCTCTTGATTTTATTTTCCAATGGCAAATCAAAATTCATATTTTAGCCTTGGGTCTCGTGTCATCGCTGCCACAACTCACTATATTTTCACATTCGATAGGAGCTAGGAGCTTGTGGCTTAGCTTCCTCCAACATTTTCCAACGTTTTTCAATACTTTGTCAACTTCTCAACACTGCACTTTTGCCCGCAGCCATGTTGATTCAAGTAGTCATCCTGACCGTCCTGGTGTGGATCTCCTTCGTCTGGCTGCAGTGCCGCTACCTGGAGATCCTTGAGCTGCTATTCGCCTGGATAGCCGAGCAGTTGGCCATCACCCGCAGGAGGCGGGCTCGTGAAGAGCGCCACCGACTGGGCCAGGGACTTCAGGATCAGTATGCAGAAAGCGACACCGATACCGATGGCGACACCGATACCAACAGCCAGGACCAGGACAAGGGCGATGGCGCGGAGATGCTGCTCTCGCCGCCCATCAAGAACCGCCTGAACGTCCGGGTGGAGCAGTGCTGCGACCTGATAGCCGCCGGATTGGGCCTGGTCCTGGAGGACGACGTGACCCAGCGGTTCGTGGCAGCCCCCTCGCCGGCCGGCGAATGGAATCTCCTGACCAGGAATCTCCGCCAGCGGAAGCGCTACCTCAACTGGCGCTTGAGGATCGTCTGGCTGCTGGGATGGCTGACCCGCTATGGCCTCCTCCTGCCCCTGAGGACCTCGGCCTGCTGGCTGTGCCTGTTCATGATCAGCGGCATCACGGTGCTGCTGAGCCACCTGCCCGACTGGCACTTCAAGAGGCAGCTGGTGGAGCTGGTTCTGCGGCAGTGCTTCAGGATCACCGCCGGCTGCCTGCCGATGATCCGGCGGTTCCACAACACAGAGTACCGACCCACCAAGGGCATCTGCGTGTGCAACCACACGAGTCCTCTGGACGTCCTGGTCCTTATGTGCGATGCCAACTACTCGCTGACCGGCCAGGTGCACACCGGGATCCTGGGAGTCCTGCAGCGATCCCTCTCGCGGGTCTCAAACCACATGTGGTTCGACCGCAAGGAGCTGGCCGACCGCGAGGCCTTGGGCCTCCTCCTCCGGCTGCACTGCTCCTCCAAGGACCGCCCGCCCGTCCTCCTCTTCCCCGAGGGCACCTGCATAAACAACACCGCCGTGATGCAGTTCAAGAAGGGCAGCTTCGCCGTCAGCGACATCGTCTATCCGGTGGCCATCCGCTACGACCGCCGCTTCGGGGAGGCCTTCTGGGACAGCACCCGCTACTCGATGCTCCGCTACATGCTGATGGTGGTCAGCTCCTGGTGCATCTGCTGCGACGTCTGGTACATGGCGCCCCTCACCCGGCGCATCGACGAGTCGCCCGTGGAGTTCTCGAACCGCGTGAAGGCCGCCATCGCCGCCCAGGCGAACATCGACGATCTGCCCTGGGATGGCAATCTCAAGCGCTGGAGTCCGGTGCGGGACTGGCAGTAGTCCATTAATCCATCAATCTTGATCCCTGATCCCCATCAATCCGACCACAATCACCCGTCCCAAGAAAATTCAAAGCAATCATCAAGCAATTTATCATCGGCGTTTAGGACCACAGACACCAGTTGCTCCTGAGTATATTGTGTAATAATTTTATAATGATCTAGTACCAAGAAGGCAGAATGGTAAATGAATCAATATATTTAAGAGGGCAACAAATGCAACGTTTTATGAAACTATGAAGTAAATTCTGATGACGCGAATTCTTGAGCAGTCATAGAGGTGTTCTTTTACTTTTGTTAAAGACGCGAATTCTTGAGAAACTTTTTATGGAAATTATTAAGCATGTTCCGAAGATGAGTTCTCTTACTTTACGCAAATTCTTGAGCAGCCAAAATATTTGAACATTATTAAGGAAGCTACAACAATTATATTATTTATTTTTGTTTAAGACGCGAATTCTTAAGAACCTAGATTATTAGATTATATAATTAGATACGATGTACCAGGTGACCTTATAGATATATTTCGAGAAGATATAGTAAATACCACTACTTTCGGGACAACTTGTTCAGGGGACGTAGTCCCCAGTCTCGGGACTCTACCAGTGACCTTAGGTGTATCGGGGACCTACCGTTTCGGCTGGACAATCTTTCGCTCTCCGTGGCGAATCGAGGCGTTGGGGCCGTACCGCCCGAGGAGAGCGCTTTGCGACTGGGAGACTCCGCCGGCGGCGGAGGCGGAGGCCGCGGTGATCGCCGCGAGGCCGCTGCGCAACGAGGTGCAGGTGGCTAGATCCCGGGGATGGGCCAGCCCGTAGGCGCCGAAGGCCGACTGCGAATGGACCGCATAGTCGAGGCCGGGCAGCTCCAAGGAGGCGATCGGGTGGATGCGGGTCAACGAAAGCGTGCTTTCGAGCACGGTGCTTAGGAGCGGGGCGCTGCGCAGGGATCTCAGGCTGCCGCGGCGCGTGAGCGTGTCCGGCTTATACATCCGTGGTTGGGGGGCCCTTCGCCCCCCGCCCGCCTAATAGCTTGTCACCTCCTCCTCCGGACCGGCTTCTAATTGCCGTAAACGGTTGGCTAGTCCGGCGTGCGGGTCATTCACAGCAGTCGCTTTATGAGCAATTACGCTGTTTATTGTGCAAAACGCGCGGGTCACGCAACTGCTTAGAAGTGGTCGGCGTCCCCTTCTCCCTGGACTTCTTGATTTCCGGCTTGCTTGTTAGCTGGCGTTCCTGCTTCGCTTTCTTGGTTTTTGTTCAATCCAGCTTGCTTGCTTTTATTCTGCTCCTTTAGCTTCTACGCTCTCTTAAATTTGTCTCGCTTTCTTCTTTTTTTATGCTTTTTTATAGCTTAACATGCATTGCTGAAGACAAAGCATGCTTTTTATCTTACATAGCCAGCTTGCTGATCTGCTTTTCAATTCTCTTGGCTAGCAAGCGAGCTTTTTTCTTTTTTTGCTTTTGGTAACCTTGCAAGCTTGCTTTTCCTTCTGCTTGGTGTCTGCTTCCGCTTTGCTTTGTCTCGCTTTGCCTCGCGTGCTTCCTTTTTGCCAGCCTGCTTTCCTGCTCGCCTGCGTGCTAGAGTTTTGTTGGTACAAATGCTTGTACAAATTGCTCGTCGCTTTGTTGCTTTTGCTGTGCTGTGCTGCGGTCGCTCGGCTGCTTTGCATACAAGATTTGATTTGTCAGATTTCAGATTGCCATTGCGATTGGGAGTGGACACGCGGGAGTCGCCCGCCGGGTTGCGCCCGACTAAACGAATATGCAAAGTGGCTGGGCAGCTGGGTAGTGGGTGGCAAGTGAGCGAGTGGGCAAGTGGGCAAGTGGTGCACAACTAATTGATGGATGGCAAACTGCAACTCGCCCTCCGACACAGCGTCGCCCATTGGGTGCACTCGCGGCAGCTGTCGACTAAGTGATTCATCGAAAGCAACTCTGATTGATGGCACTTGACACTAGTCGCTAATCACTAAGGGCTTTTCGCTAATCAGCCCGACGCGCTAATGAGTAACTCACTGAGATCCCGAAATCACTTACTTGGTGGCGAATCTTATGGTGGGCAAGGTCCTACGATGGACATTTAAGAGATTACTGTAAAGAAGTCTAAAAGTATGCACTGAAAAATTCATACTTTGAAAAATAATGTTGCATTCTTTTAGACACCTATAGTAGTATTTTCAAAATTCCAGTGACTATTATCTGCTATTATAATAGATTTAATGTTCTGTGATAAATTGCTTTTTTCAATTTATATTTCTACAATATTTGCAAGCTTCTCTGAAACATTAATTCATATTAGTGAAGTGAGTAAAAATGTCCATCAACATGTTAAACATATTAATTGAATTACCCACGGCAACACCTAAATGAATAGCTTTAAATCACGAAACTGTTCCAGCTAACGTGCTTAGTTTTAATTAATATTTCACCTATCAGGATTTCCTTGCAGTAATTAAAATGCCATATAAAAGGTAGCTGCAATTGCTAATATACTGAATACTGATTTTGACAAAGTATGCTCACATAAAGTTTATTAATTTCAAAGAAGCTTTAGTCATTGGTATATGAAAATAAGTTTTTAAGCCAAGAGAGAATATTCACATTTCGCGTACAAAGGGCTACCAATGCATACAGCTTGTGTATGCAGAAGACTCTTAAGAGCCATCAGATTGCAAATCTTTAATTTTTGCATGGGACTGGCAATATAATTTTGCGCTATTTTTCTAATAAAACACAAAATATATGAAAAATTGATAAAAAAATAAATTTCCCGAAGGGTGAAATTTTACCCCTTTTGTTCGAAAAATTGCGAAATGCGGTCAGAATAGGAAGTGTGATACCTCGATGAGCTCGCAATAAAATTCCCAATCGATTGGCATTTAAATCTTCAAATTTTAATTTTTGAAAAATTTTCGAAAAAAATAGATGATACAACCCCTTACAAAAAATGCGAAAATGGGTCAAAAAATAAATTTCCCGATTTGTGATATGGATCGATAGCCTTGGTTGTTAGCTGCTCATAACAGTCGGTCTTTTTGTTGTGCGCCACGATTTGACTAAATTACGACATAAAAACGGCCTAAAAATAACGCATTTTTCGTCAAAAAATAAAGTTCCCCATTTTTGCACAAAAAAAATCAGTATTTTGGTCGACAAATTGCGAAATGAAGTCAGATTAAGGAATGTACCTCGTTAAGCTCGTAATTAAATTCCCAATCGATTGGCATTTAAATCTTCAAACTTTAATTTTTGAAAAATTTTCGAAAAAAATAGATGATACAACCCCTTACAAAAAATGCGAAAATGGGTCAAAAAATAAATTTCCCGATTTGTGATATGGATCGATAGCCTTGGTTGTTAGCTGCTCATAACAGTCGGTCTTTTTGTTGTGCGCCCCGATTTGACTAACTTACGACATGAAAACGGCCTAAAAATAACAAATTTTTCGTCAAATAATAACGTTCCCTATTTTTCCACAAAAAAAATCAGTATTTTGGTCGACAAATTTCGAAAAGAAGTCAGATTAAGGAATGTGATACCTCGTTGATCTCGTAATTAAATTCCCAATCGATTGGCATTTAAATCTTCAAACTTTAATTTTTGAAAAATTTTCGAAAATAATAGATGATACAACCCCTTACAAAAAATGCGAAAATGGGTCAAAAAATAAATTTCCCGATTTGTGATATGGATCGATAGCCTTGGTTGTTAGCTGCTCATAACAGTCGGTCTTTTTGTTGTGCGCCCCGAATTGACTAAATTACGACTTAAAAACGGTTTAAAAATAACGCATTTTTCGTCAAAAAAAAAAGTTCCCCATTTTTGCAAAAAAAAAATCAGTATTTTGGTCGACAAATTGCGAAATGAAGTCAGATTAAGGAATGTGATACCTCGTTGAGCTCGTAATTAAATTCCCAATCGATTGGCATTTAAATCTTCAAACTTTCATTTTTGAAAAATTTTCGAAAAAAATAGATGATACAACCCCTTACAAAAAATGCGAAAATGGGTCAAAAAATAAATTTCCCGATTTGTGATATGGATCGATAGCCTTGGTTGTTAGCTGCTCATAACAGTCGGTCTTTTTGTTGTGCGCCCCGATTTGACTAAATTACGACATGAAAACGGCCTAAAAATAACGCATTTTTCGTCAAAAAATAAGGTTCCCTATTTTTGCACAAAAAAAATCAGTATTTTGGTCGACAAATTGCGAAAAGAAGTCAGATTAAGGAATGTGATACCTCGTTGAGCTCGTAATTAAATTCCCAATCGATTGGCATTTAAATCTTCAAACTTTCATTTTTGAAAAATTTTCGAAAAAAATAGATGATACAACCCCTTACAAAAAATGCGAAAATGGGTCAAAAAATAAATTTCCCGATTTGTGATATGGATCGATAGCCTTGGTTGTTAGCTGCTCATAACAGTCGGTCTTTTTGTTGTGCGCCTCGATTTGACTAACTTACGACATGAAAACGGCCTAAAAATAACGCATTTTTCGTCGAAAATAACGTTCCCTATTTTTGCACAAAAAAAATCAGTATTTTGGTCGACAAATTGCGAAAAGAAGTCAGATTAAGGAATGTGATACCTCGTTGATCTCGTAATTAAATTCCCAATCGATTGGCATTTAAATCTTCAAACTTTAATTTTTGAAAAATTTTCGAAAAAAATAGATGATACAACCCCTTACAAAAAATGCGAAAATGGGTCAAAAAATAAATTTCCCGATTTGTGATATGGATCGATAGCCTTGGTTGTTAGCTGCTCATAACAGTCGGTCTTTTTGTTGTGCGCCCCGATTTGACTAAATTACGACATGAAAACGGCCTAAAAATAACGCATTTTTCGTCAAAAAATAAGGTTCCCTATTTTTGCACAAAAAAAATCAGTATTTTGGTCGACAAATTGCGAAAAGAAGTCAGATTAAGGAATGTGATACCTCGTTGAGCTCGTAATTAAATTCCCAATCGATTGGCATTTAAATCTTCAAACTTTCATTTTTGAAAAATTTTCGAAAAAAATAGATGATACAACCCCTTACAAAAAATGCGAAAATGGGTCAAAAAATAAATTTCCCGATTTGTGATATGGATCGATAGCCTTGGTTGTTAGCTGCTCATAACAGTCGGTATTTTTGTTGTGCGCCCCGATTTGACTAATTTACGACATAAAAACGGCCTAAAAATAACGCATTTTTCGTCAAAAAATAAAGTTCCCCATTTTTGCACAAAAAAAATTCAGTATTTTGGTCGACAAATTGCGAAATGAAGTCAGATTAAGGAATGTACCTCGTTAAGCTCGTAATTAAATTCCCAATCGATTGGCATTTAAATCTTCAAACTTTAATTTTTGAAAAATTTTCGAAAAAAATAGATGATACAACCCCTTACAAAAAATGCGAAAATGGGTCAAAAAATAAATTTCCCGATTTGTGATATGGATCGATAGCCTTGGTTGTTAGCTGCTCATAACAGTCGGTCTTTTTGTTGTGCGCCCCTTTTTTTCACAAATTTTTGAAAAAAAAAGATAATACAAAAGTGATGGGGTCGAGTGTTGGTTGGTAGTTGCTCATAACAGTCGGTATTTTTCTTGTGCGCCTCGATTTGACTAAATTACAATTGATCAACCGCTAAAAATAAGGGTATGAAAACTAGTTCCCAGAGGGAGCTATATTTACAGTTTATAAGCTAAGAATGTCAAGAAAATGCATCTTTAAGTCCAGCCGAAACTAAAACTCATTGTTTGTAGATCAAAAGAAGGCACGCGACTATCGCATTGCCCGTTTTTGCGCTTAAAATGGGTGTTTTGAGTCTCGGCTGGGTTTTCTAGGTAGACTTTATAGATAGATAGTATGATAATGATATAAGCTAGACTCACTTGTGTCAAATCTAAACGAACGATGATGAACGAACGTTGTTCTTGATAATGGCAATGGCATTGGCAGTGTTGGGGGCGTTATGCTGTTGTTTTTGTTATTGTTGATTTTCTTGTTGATTTGCTGTTGTTGATCTTGTCGTTTTTTTTTGTTTTCAGTTGTTGCGGGGCAGCCCTTGGCCGCCCTCTCACTTTTGGAGTTTTCCTCACTCGAATTTTCTCTGCCGTCTCTTTTTCCTGTGTCGTCGAACACTGAACACTGAACTAGTTATATTTGTTTTTTTGCTTTTTTACTTGTATGGAACTAGTTTTGAGTTTTGAGTATTTACAGTAATGTGCATGTCTTGATCGCTTGCTATTGTATTGCTGTTTTCAACTGATGATGTGGGGGACAACGACAACCGAGCACAGTGGCACGATTGATTTATTGAGTGGGTGACTGACTGACTGATTGACTGACTGACTGATTGATTGACTGACTGGCTGACTGACTGATAGAACCTACGTGTGAAGCCGCAACGAATCAAATGGGCAACCACTCCAATCGGGTCTCGCGATCGCAATCCTTGCGCCCAGGGTTGTTCCTGACTTGTCCAGGGTTGCCAGCTCTTTCTCTGGCCATTTGCCACCGGGTCCAATCCATGGTCTTCGTCCTGCGTCCTTCTGCGCCTTCACCACCTTCTCAACCCCCCGGAAACCGGAAACCGAGTCCGCTCACTCACCGCCGCTCGCACATCTGTCTCGCCCTCTCGGTCGCACTGATCGCCTTGTCTCACTTGCTCCCGTGGGCGTGCGTGGGCGTGGGGCAGCTGGAGCCACGCCCCAAAAAAAAAAAACAAAATACTTTCAGCTGTCCTCATAGACACTCGACGATCTGAAAGGGGCAAAAAAAGAAATACTTTAGTAAAGGAGAATGAAATATATGAGTAATCTATAGCATACAAATATCCACAAATGTACATTGGAATATGGTATAGATTCTTACAACTTACTGTTTAATCATATAATAAGTAATTTTGTTTATTTTGTAGGTATAGGGTATGGTATTTACCGAATCTCCTTTTTTTTGAGATCTTCATTTTAAGGTCAAATTATTATTTATGCCCTAAGAGTTTTCTTTAACGAAAATCAGAAAAATCGTTGCCCTAAAAATGCCGCCTTTTAGCATCAATTTCATAAGAATCAATTTCAGCACACTTTCCAAAGTTGTTTGTTTGCCGCTTGGCACCATTTTCGTTCTATGCCATGGATTGATAATTTTGGAAATCTCCTTAGCGTTTTTACGATGCCCCACACAAATAAACGATAAATATGAAAATTTCTAATCGCACTCTGATTTTTTGGTCACTTTCCGTGACCTATCTGAAATCAGCTGCGTTGAAGTGGCGAAAAACGCTGCCAAATTACTACAGATGCTGTCCACGTCTGGGTCATTGGATGGGCTTTTCCCCCGCCACTGCACACCCCCCCCCCCAGATTTTCCGTCATTTTCCACTCAAGTTGGGGGCGTGGGCCGCAGAATGTTTTGAGCCACTCAAATGCAGCTCCCCTCCATTTTCCCGCTTTTCCTGCGGGCCGAATAAAAGTGGGCGGGAGAGAAAATGTTGTGCCCAACAGCAAAAAGAATGAAAGTATTTGCTTTGCTAAGCACAAAAATATGTCAAAGTAAATTTCTGTTCATTTTTGCCTCTGCCCGACCTGCTTTATATCCTTTTTCCCAACTCTCTATGTGTGTGTGTGGGAAAATGGGTGGAAAAGTGGGAGTGGCGGGAGTTCTGTGAGGTCGCGTTGGCTGCGTTGAAATGCGTCGCACGTAGCCATGTAGCAGATTTTCTTTTTAATATTTATACGCCCCCTCGCAACGAAAAACTGCAGCAGTTAGATACTGGCACTGCCAGTTACTTCTGACATTACTGCTCCAGCCACTGGCACTGCTCACGGCTGCGGCTCGAACTTCTTGGGGGCTGGCCTTTTCGGGATACTCTCTATAGGGATCCCAGAGTGGGGGGTTCTCGATTGCCTGGCCATGATTATGGTGCAAATTTGGGTGCCTAGTACTTGGGCACAGTTCAAAACAGCTCGAGTACCTTTTTATATAGAAGTAAAACTAATATTATCGAATACTTTTATTCAAAATATTGTTTTAAAATTTATTAGTAAGGTAGATGGATGGGATGGAATAATATTCTTTAAATTACAATAATCTCTGATTTGAATGATAATGATTTTAAAAGCTGATAACATTGGAACTAAATCATTTTAGGAATATTTAGGCTTACATGAATAAATTAAATCATAAATTAACTTTTTTTCTTATGTTACTATACAATCAAAAGTTTTAATACCTTATGAGAACTTTATTTTTTAATAACTACACACTGTGCTTAAAAGCTTGACGAGTTTTCATTAATCATTCGAAGTTGAATTAGGATTTAAAAATAAAAAATATTACTTTATTTTTATAAGTATATTTTCTAAGAATACATAAATAATGTTTGTTTGGTATAAAGCTATTTCGGTTAAGCTTTAGCTTACAATTCCAGGGTATTTCCCAGTGTGCTAGGCTTTTTTCCCGCACTTTTTCACGTGCTCCTTTTTTCGCTCGCCTCGTTCCTGCTTAATGCGAACTCGTTGCGGCAGTTAAAGTTGCAGCAGCGCTGGCTGAGGCAATTGTAATTAACTTTTAGATGGCTTTTCTGAGTTTTCCCCGGCTACTTGGACGGAGGTCGGGATGGGAAATGGGAAAACTAGTGGCGCTGGCTTCTTGCAAATGAAATGCGTATTCTTGGCCTTAAGGAGCACTGGCTGCGGGGCTTTTCCCCGCTTTTCCCCGCTTTCCTTTGCAATTGTAATGAGATTCAAGCAACACGCACAGAAATGGAAATGCGAGACAGAAATGCGCCATTCTGAGCCACTCCAAATGGGATTTTGCAGACATTCGGGCAAGTTTATTAGATCATCTCGGAATGTGTCCGGGCGCAAATTATTAAAGATTGTGTGGAAAAAGAAGTTTCTCATGTTTCCAAAAAACTTTATCCACTGCCTGCTAGAATGCAGCTTAATTCGAGAACCCTTCTGCTGAATAGTTGCTATACCCTTAAAGAGGTTATTTTAATATTGTCTGCTTCAAAAAGCCTAGCTTAAGTAAAGATGTAATTTAAAATATAATAGTTTTTAATACTCGCCTTCAGTTATTTCCTTATATTAAGGTCTTTATTTCATTCACAGTTCGGCAAAACGTAAAATTTACTTAAAATAAGTTTAACCCTTCTGTAAAACCTACTTCAGAAATAATTGCATTTGAGTCTAGATTTTTCAAAATGATATTTTTGTTGAAGTTCGCAGGCCAATGAAAATCACAAATGTTCAAAGACAACATTTTACTGAAAAGCACGAAAAAAATCTATTGACAAAGTGCCATTTCAGGTCTTGAGTATTAATTAACATTCAAGTGGCTTACATTTAATTTTGCTAGAAATGGAAAATGCACTTTTTCCACACAATGTCTTATTTATACAAATGTAATTTATTTTGAGGGTTTTAAATGGCACAATAAATGAAACGCTTCAAGGGTCATTTATTCATTTGTGTGTTTTTTCAAGAACTCATGCAGTACATCTGAGGCACTGAATGCTATGAATATGTGCTACAAAATCACACTCAAAGGCCTGCAAAACGTGAGTGTCACTTGGTGTTTTAGGCATTATTCAAGAACCGATTCCCGCAGGTCCCCCGTGTCCTTGGCCAATTTAACCCCATCAGGAAGCGCTTTGTCTTGGCGTCAATCGCCCGGAGTGCGTGCTCGAGGGCAATGAATTGCTATGATTTATGTCCCCGCCCGAGACGGAATTTACATTTTCCAGGCTTTAAAATTTATTTCGCAAATGCCCCGCGGTAGCTGTCAGAAGGAAAAAAAAATAAATAAAAGGAGAAACGGCAGAGTTGGGCTGGGCAAAATGAAATCGAGGCAGAAAAAGACCCATATCATGCGGCTGCTGTTCCCCTACGGCTTGCGATATGATATATCACGATTACTGCTGACTATTGCTTATTTTGAAATCCGTTCCCCAGACCGTTTTCCCCCAGCTCCGCTTTCCCCGCCCGCGTTTTCCCCCCGCCAAAGCCAAAAGTACATTCTTGTTGCGGCTTGACAAGTAAACAAGCGAATCCATCAATCAACCGCACGTAGAAGGCACACAAAAGTGACAATGTGGGTGGCCCCTGGCCCCCGTTCCTTGGACTTGGGTTTTCCTGATCCAGGACTCCAGAATCCTCGGCGTAAGCCTGAGAAAGGGGAATCGATATGCACGAGTCGTACGAAATACAATTTCAGACATCACAAAACGACAAGGGGACTGGAAGGGGCTCTGGAGGAAATAGGTCGAATCCTTTCGCCACGATACACACACACATCTGGATGAATAAAAAAAGGATTCTTTAATTCATGATCAAGTTGGGATAAGTATGTAAGTATTTAAAAGTTCGCAGAAAACGAACAAAACAGAGATCATGCCGTACTGAATGCTATGAAAATGTGCTATGAGTATGCAACAATATATTTTTAGTTTTTTCGAAAGACGACGTTCTGTTTCCACTGCATACTTTTAGACACCTCTAAAAAGGAGTCTTAAGTGCTAATAATTTCTGAATGCGTCATGGTTTTTTATAGTAACTACGTTTTTTCCAAGACCCTTCCAAATTTCTCGTGAATAATTTTTAAGTACTTCACTAAACAATCGCCCATAATCACCCATTTCCCCTAAAAAAGTTTACCTATAAAACGCTTCATTTGAGCGATATAACAGATATAACAAAGTTGTAAGTTGTCTCAATTGCTGCAGCATAAAGTGCGCGTCATAAAGCGAATGTCACTTGGTTACCCCGAGAATTAACCGCGATTTGTCAGGATTATTGGGGTTTGTACTCGCAGGACTTTTCGCGGGGAGATGGGGTTCCTAAGCAGCGTCATCAATATTAAGTTACCAGCCAAAAGAAAAAAACACGATTTCCGCCACTTTTGACTGATAGACTCGTAGTGCTTTGTTCAACTTTATTATTCTTGGCAAACTGCTTCCACTTTCACTATATCTTCTGGGTACTTCCATTGTGTATTTGGGCCTTTTTTCCTGGAGGGAGTGGCAAACTTTTTGTGGCTCGTAAATTTTATGAAATAAAATGGCAATAAAACGAGCCGAAAAACATGTGTATGTGGGTGCGTGTTTCTGTTTCGGTTCCAGTATATTCTGTATATTCTGCAATTATTTGATTACTTTTGCTCTCGGAATTTATTAGCAAGGTAAACATGGAAATCCACGCACAACTTTGGATTTAAGGGGTGGTGAAAGGGGGGAATGCGAGTGCAAATATTGAATTAATCAAATTTCATTCTCTCGTGTGTAATTATTCGTGAGATTATGGCCGCAAAGCAGGGTTTATTTGCTCATGTCAAGGGGGTCTTGGGGGCTCCACTGAAAAGTTTAGGCTGGGGCACAACACTCAGATCCCAAATCACAGTCCCAAAACCCCGATAATCCCCTCGGAACTAGCCTAAGTCCTAGCACACACACACGGAGACCGAAAAACGACAGGATTTTGTCAACAAACCTCTCGAAAAGCGGACAAAAATTTGTCACACCGACTTAAGCTACTTACGGGTATAAATGCATGCAAATTTCACAAAAAAGGACATCCAAGCGATGCGTCGATAATGCCATTTCAATGAGCATATGCGTTTATCACATTAAAAGACAATTTGGCATATTAAAAAGGGAGCCAGAAATTGCGGATCAAAAGCACTCGGGACACAATCCTTTTGCCAGGGACTAGGAAATGGCGAAAAGCTGGCAAAAGGCTCCTTGGCTCCTCGGCTCCAGG